TCTTGACTTGAGGCTTTTTTGGGCAGTATTGATCTCGTATAGAGTGAAGGGAGTGTCAAAGATCTTACAGTTGTAGCTTTTTCTTCTCTTTAAGATATTACTAAAGGCCTGGTCCAGTTGTTTTCTTGGCTTTGACTTGTTAATGCTGGCAAAATATTTATTGAAGGTTTCAGCCTTTTTAGGGTTTTCTGTTATTGTGTCGTGAGTGCCTTTTATAGGTCGGGGGTTTGGCATTTGTTTCTTTCCTGCTAGCCGTTGCAGAAGGTTCCAGGCCTTTCGACCATCCTTGTTTAGATCTAGTTGTTCGCATGTTGTGGTCCACTTTTTCTTTTTTTTTTTCTGTTTAAATTTTGTATCTTATAAGACCTGTCAATTTGTTGTACGTTGTTTTGTTCTCTCTAGTAGAGTTTTTTTTCTATAGTCTTCCTGGCCATGTTTCTTTCTTTTACTAATTTATCTAATTCTGGTGTCCAAAAAGATTTGTATTTCTTAACTTGGCCTCGAGGGATGTGGGTTTTTTTTGCTGCTTGTAGGATGTTGGAGACTATAGTTGTGTAGGTTGAGTTGACGTCTGTCTCCATTATGCTTGATAGTCTTGTGTCTGTTTCTTGTGAAAAAGCTGCCCAGTTAGCTTTTTTATAGTTCCATCTAGTTGTTTTGCTGAATTGGTATCTACCTGGCATTCCAATATTGAGGAGTATAGGCCTGTGTCACTACCTATGTCTTCAAGTACTGTTATTTTAGAAGAGTCGGTAATGTCTGTAGAGATAAAAGTTAGGTCAGGTCTGCTAGTTGTGTTGTGTGCTCTGTGGAGGAATGTTGGAGGTGAAGTTTTGTTTTGCAGAAGTTGTAGGTTAGAGGCATTTGTTACATCCTCTATTTCTTTGCCACTCTTGTAGTAAGGGTAGCCTAGGGAAGGTGTGTGTGTGCATTAAAGTCGCCAGCTATTATTGTCCTTGTGTAGTGTGGTAGTTGTATGTCTATTTCTGCTGCTGATGATGGTGGGCAATAGTAGTTTTTGATGGTGTACTTAGTTCTTCCTCTCCAAAGAAGTATTTCCTGCGTGTCGATCTCTGTATTGTTCTGTATTTCTTTTACTGTGGCTTGTGTGTCGTTTCTTATGAGGGTCATAATTCCCTGGCGTTTGGTGCAAAGGCATCTGTACTGTGTGTAGCCTGTTATGTTTATTTTTTTCTTGAGCAGTAGTGTTTCTAGCAATAGCGCTATGTGTATATCATGTTTCTTGAGTATGTGTTGGAGTTCTGTTGTATTGTTTTGTAGGCCTAAGATGTTGAGTTGCAAATGGTTTAGGTGTTTGCTGCTAGTCTGTTTTTTATTTCCAAAAGCTGACTTATCACAGGCAGTCCTGAAAGAAACTGCCATTTTACGAGGCGACTTCTGAGCTCGTATGGATTTTTCATTAAATTCCTTGGCATTTAGTGTAGGCTGGGTGTTTCCTCAGGCTTTTTAAAAATATATAGTCCCCGCATCATTGGTCATTTCCAAGCCCCGATACCCACACGGGGGGGGGGGGTATCGCCATAGAGTAGAGGTTTGGAGTCAGAGTTTTCCTTCTCCTAGATGGGTTGCGTTATTTAGGCTGACGTGCCCCATCAACACGAAGCTAAACTGGTTTTGAGGCGCCAGTGTTCCGCCTTTCATCCCTTTTCCTGTCAGTTTGTAAGAAAACCACACGTGAAGGCCAGGAGCTGGATTTGACTGTCAGAGGCATTTAGAGACGCAAGCCATGGGAGCATTTCTTGGAAAGTGGGTGCTTATCCCCACTTTCATCCCCGGCATTGATTGTCCTTTGGAACATAATAAAACACCTAGTAGGAACATCCTGGGGAGCTGAAAAGAAAACCTTAAGACAGTTATACACTGGATACGTCAGATCTGTAATGGATAACTGTCTCTCCGTACAAGCCATGGGAGCATTTCTTGGAAAGTGGGTGCTTATCCACACTTTCACCCCCGGCATTGACAGTCCTTTGGAACATAATAAAACACCTAGCAGGAACATCCTGGGGAGCTGAAAAGAAAACCTTAAGACAGTTATACACTGGATACGTCAGATCTGTAATGGATAACTGTCTCTCCGTACAAGCCATGGGAGCATTTCTTGGAAAGTGGGTGCTTATCCCCACTTTCACAACCGGCATTGACAGTCCTTTGGAACATAATAAAACACCTAGCAGGAACATCCTGGGGAGCTGAAAAGAAAACCTTAAGACAGTTATACACTGGATACGTCAGATCTGTAATGGATAACTGTCTCTCCATACAAGTAGCTGCCAACAAAACCTATCAATCATCATTAGACACAATCCAAAACCAAGCCTTGCGGCTAATTAGTGGAGGTATGAGAACTACTCATACAGCAGCCTGTGAAATAGACTCCAATATTGAACCTCTTAAGTTAAGGCGCAACAGAGCAGCATTAGAAGCTATTGAGAGATACAGAAGGTTGGAGGACGATCATCCAAATAAATTACTAACACAGAGAAATAGGAAAAAACAACCAAAAAAAAGCAAAGGACTCTGATCCAACTTACTGACGAACTAGCCCTAAAACACCACCTACCCAATAACAGAGAAAAAATTACCAGATTTTCAAACATTACACCCGGACTAAACTACAAACAACCAACCATCAAAACACATTTACTAAATAACACCTTAACAAAAGAATCAAATCCACTCGAGCTCAAAGTAAGCACGCTTGAACTAATTGAAAGCTATCAAAAAACAGCTATCCATATTTATACAGACGGATCAATGCTGGTCTTGGCGCCTTCTTGGTCTTCCCTAAAAATAAACACTTTGAGATAAGCGCACCCTGTGGCGATTACTACTCAAACTTCCAAGCCGAAATTGAGGCAATTACCATAGCACTACAGACAGTGGAAAACAAATTATATGAAGGAGTGCAACCACCATCAGATATTGTTGTCTTTACAGACTCCCAATCTAATCTGCAAGCACTTAACAGCAGCACCTCAAACAGCCCAAGAGAGTTGACAACACTTATTGTGATAATCCATCAGATGATATCAAAATTAAATATCACATTACAGTGGATCCCTGGACACATTGGCATCATGGAAAATGAAAAGGCAGATAAGCTATCAAAGGCAGGTTAATCTATGGAACAACCAGACAGACCTGTTAACTACCTCACCCTAAGGTAAATGTTAGTCAACAATCACAAAGAGGAGTGGCTCAACCGATGGGCATTAGGAAACACAGGCAGAGCCCTATACAAAGAAATGACTACGCCAAACAGGAACTGGACAGTATTAACTTCCTCCCCGCAAAGAACAATCTACAATTTTCCAACTAAGAACAGGACACACACCACTATTAAATTACCACCTGAACAAAATAAACTCCACACAACTCCCCCTTTGCAGACACTGCGCCCACCCCTTTGAAACCGTAAACCATATCCTCTTTGAATGCCCCTCCCTAATCCACCTTAGGCAGACCCTACTTCCACTACAGCCCAACATAACCAACACCCTGTACAGCAGTGCTGAACAACTGAAGAAAACAGCACACTTTCTTTCCTTGGCAGTCTGCAAAAGAGCTCACAGCTCAGCAGTAATAAAGCTGGCTAGAGGAAGAAGTCACAGATCAACACGCATGACTAGATTGACACATGAAATGCGTAAGACGTAACAATCTTATTTTTTGAAGAAACGTCTGTAATCTAAAAGTTGGTTATACCAAAAAGCTTCTAACTCATTAGTCTGCTATTGTATTGTTTATAGTTTTCAGACTGCATACATGTATAAATAGAATACATTATGTCATCCTACGAATGGATACATCCAGTTTTCGATGCGTTATCAAACGTTATATACTTTGTAGAGAATTAGGCTTACACCTATAATATAACACATGGGCGTAGCCGGGAGGGGAGGATCTTCAAACCATCACTTGCCTCAGACTTCATTATCATCACTTACTGCCCCAGTGCAGCCAACTTAAGCAAACTACAGTAACCAAATTTCATGAGCGTAGCCAAAAGAGGTTGTGTGGTTTCCTTCCCCTCCAATACAAAAACTAAAGCATTTTACATTTTCTACCAGTCGCTGGACTCCATTGAATAGCAGATTTGGTTTTTGAATTTTTTTTGCGGAAGAGTAGCAGGTAAATTGCACTGCAGATACCTCAAAATATGCTTTTTTAAAGCTTTAAATAACGGAAATAAGGATTGGGAAGATCATAGCGATCCCTAGCTGCACTTTGGCGGTGTGTACTTTCCACTAATTATAGGAAGAGAGTATTCTAGGGTAGAATAAACGTTTGAAAGAATGAAAGATCAGAATATAATGAAGATTAATTACATATACGCACACACACACACACATATATATATATATAAATTGCGGAGTGGGGTAAAAATTACCCCCACATACATGTATGCCATTTGTGGGCCGGTTTATATGGTAATGCCCGGGCCGATTTTGATACCCAGTCCGCCCCTGCTCAAACCCCCCTTGGCTGTGCTAGGGCAAGTGATGGTTTAGTATTAAAATCTCACCTAAAATAAACAAAACTAAAGCAAAAGATCAGTCACTAAACTCCGACAACCCCCCTGTGGTGGGGGATTTCATTTCGGGGGGAGGAGTATTTGAACCTCAACCCCCCCCCCTGGCTACGCCCATGCATAGTAGGCTAATAAATTGTAAAGATCCCTCAAAATAATTATAAAGCTGTTTTCTATTATCTTCCTTATTAAAACACATAATTCTGTAACACATTAATGACTCTACTATTCTTTACAATTATAACTGGGAATAGGGATTTGACATAATTTTACCTTAACACAGATGACTGGGAATAGGGCTACAGCACAAACACAGTTGACTGTGAATGTGGTTTTTCTCATAGACTAGTTTTTCCATTTTACCATATGGTTGGGAATAGGGGCGCCATTGAAAAATAAAATCTGGGGTCTGGGTATTTTTTAAAATATATTTTAACTCAGAAATTCTGAGTATTTTTTAGATCTAGATCTCTTAGACATCTAATTCTAGACTGGAGAGCTACTGTACTACTGGCCTGATCTAATCTATAGATTCTAGAATTACTATGATTTTGATGATCTAGATCATGATTGATACTAGATCTAGATCTGTTCTAGATCTAGTAGACTAAGACAGCATTTATAATAAACGAGTGGACAAGACCCTATTTATATTATATTTATAAATACTAGTTCTAGTATAATGATTGATTCTACATAATACTAAAGTAATATAGATCTCATCTATAATAATATACTATTATACAAGTAAATGCAAAATTGAAAATAGGCATACTTTTATTTTAATTTTTAGCTTGTATCACTATCTAGACTATATACTTATATAGTACTTGTACTTACTTATTAGTACTAATACTACTAGATCAAATATAGTATTAGTAACTAGATCTATTACTATTACTTAATTGCTACTTCAAGTTGAAGTCAATGAAGTAGTGAGTACTTCTGCTCTACTACACTACATTTCGCTACTACGTACTAGTACTAGATTTAACTAGATCTACAATCTACTACATCTAGTCTAGTCAAGATCTAGCTCTAGAATCTGGATTTAGACTCTATGTCTAGTCTAAGTCCTGAGTTTAAAGTTACTTCAAATTTTATGTTTAACTTTTTTTTTAGTTTACTTTACTAAAAATTAAAAAACTAAATAATATTATATATATATATATATATACTTATACAGTCATTACTGATTAATAATATTATAGTTAATTAAGTTAATATATCAGTATCTCAATTATAATGAATTATATAGAGTAAAGAGAATAGTTCTAGATTCTAGTCTAATATAGAATATTATTATAGATCTACTAGATCTAGTCAATCTAGATAATAAGAGTATATTTAGCAGCTTGTCCTTAGCTACAAAAGAGTTTTTAAAAGTTATATGACTAATAATATTATTAGTATTAGATAGATTATATAAATTAGATCTATAATTAAAGTATAATATATATTATTATATACCCCTCTAGGCATTTGATCTATTAAATCTATATCTGATCTTCTTTTATAATGAATATTATAATATTACCCTCAGGGTAGTCTGTATACTTAATATACTCTATATTAATAATCTTTATTGTCCGTATGGAAATTTGTCTTACAATTTGTACATTTTACCAAGCAAAAAACATATATAATAATAATAAAAAGGCTTGTCAGCCCCAGCTGTGACCTACATATTTTGCCACATTCAGAGCAAGCATAACCATTTTTTGTCTGCTGGTGGATTAAGATTTTATTTTCGCAGTCTGCGTCTGTCCTCGGCACCTGATTTTCTTTTGGTCTCAATTGTGTATCCCATGGCCTTAGTGAGTGACCTCCAGCTGTCTTGTTCTGAGGCCACATGCAACTAGGTGCTCTCTTCTATGTCAGCTTAGGCCATTTGGCGCCTAAGCTGGTCTTTAAAGCGTTTCCCTGGGGCACCTCTGTTATGTCAACTACCTTTCAGCTCACCAAAAAAGACTGCCTATACCTTTGGTATATGTTTGTCTCCCAGTGCCCTACCCAGTGTAACTGTCGGACCATAAGAAGTCCAGCTATACTGTCCATACCGGCGTTCGCAAAAAATATATATATAAATGTCATTTTGCTTTTTCTTGCTAAAAATGTGGGGGGAAAAAAAATAACAGCGTAACGAGGCATTCTGATCGCATGGCGTTACGGGCTGGCTGTGTTATTTAATATGCTCTAAATATCTATAGATATAATTCTCTTCTTCCCTCAACTGTTGAAATGAGAAGAAGTAAAGGAAAGATCACTCTCCTATTTCTGCGGATAGTCCACGAGAAAACAAGAGGGGGAGGGGAGAACACGTAGTCACAAAATAGCAGGGCCGGAACTTTATGACCTAGAAATATACTCTTTTTTTTTTTATTTAAGTAGGAAGTAATCTACTCTGTAGTATTTATCGAGGCGACAGAGCACGCTTAAGAGTTTGGACACCATGGAAAGATCACTCTTTTTTTTTTTTTTGCAACTCGGGCGGAGGGAGCCAAAAAAAAAAGAGGGGGGGGAAGTAGTATTCATCCGTCACTAAATAACAGAATCTCAGACCCATTGTAGAGCCCTATGCGAAATGGATTTCGCGGGGCCAAGTTTGGGTAAGGATACAGATAATAAGTGAAAATTAAGAGTTTGTATTAGAAAACAAATTCTTCTTTGCATTTTATATATTCTTTACTACGTACAGAATTACTTTATGAGCCTTGCGTGTAGCGAAGTCATACAGTATATCATAAAAATTCTATTTCCTACATAGATCACGCTCAATAGCTAGAATTACCAAAATGTTTCAATCTATCTACGAGAATTGTTGATCTTAAGTAATTCTTCATTAGTTTGAGGCGCGAGAAGCTTCTTTCACTAGATTCCATAATTGCGGGCATTGCATAATGCCGGTTTTTTTTATCTACCGTAGGATTGGCGTTTTCCATATTGAATGACACCCCAAAATGACAATTTTCGTCTATATATTTCAGGAGATTTGTATGAGTTTTCAAAAGATTTTAATAATATTCGGATATTTTGCAATTTCAGGAGATTTTCAGGACCTCCTGTTAAATCGACAGGAGGTCGCGGGAAATCTGTTAATGTTATAAAATGGTTTAATTCAATAATTTATACACCTAAAATTAGCGTGGGTCCTATAAAAGTGTGAGGCCCACTGCGGTCGCATAGGTTGCAGTGGCCTAAGGTTGGCCCTGCAAAATAGCGCGTATGCTACGCCGCCGGTTGACTAGTTATCGACTTAGATCTAGATATCTGCAATTGCATGATCTAGATTCTTCAATTTTTCTATATATTTTTATTTTTTTATTTGTTGAAGGGGAAGGATCTAGTGGATCTAGATCTAGAATCTATTGATCTAAATAGGTAACATTTCTATCAATCATAGATCTATATATTTTAGATAATCTAGATGTATAACTATAATATTATATATTATATATACATATATTTGTTATCATCATCATCATCACTCCTTTGAGTTCCTCATGGAACATAGGGCCTCGACAAAAACACCACACTCTCCACGGTCTCTTGCTAGCTTTTTGATGGTGTCCCAACTCTTCCCGGTCTTCTCTGCTTCTTCAAGTACACTGCGTCGCCATGTTCTTTTTGGTCTTCCTCTGCGTCTTGTTCCCTGGGTGTTCCACTCTAAGGCCTTCCTAGCTCTGTTGCTGGTATGTTTTCTAAGGGTGTGACCAATCCATCTCCACTTCCTCTCTAAGATCTGCACTTCTATATTTTTCTGTCCACTCATCTCCCACAGTTTAATGTTTTCTACTTTGTCGTACCAGTGTATTTTTGTTATTTGTTATAATCGCAGTTAACTAATTTGCATATGCTGCCATCTCTTTTGGTTTATCTATAAACCTCTGGAAAATAGAAGTCGCCCAATAAAACCTAGTCAGCCCCAAAGATCACTGTAAATGGACAGCCCCTTAACCCGGTAGACCACTTCGCATATCTAGGAAGCATAGTATGAAATGATGCATCACTTTCAGGGGCAGTTGATAACCGTCTGGCCAGGGCCAATAGTGCTTTAGGACATCTCCAGGCAAGAGCCTGCCTACAAAAGTCAATATCTACCAAGCAATGGTTCTCTCAACCCTTTTATATGGATCTAAGACATGGTATAAGACAGAAAGCAACCAAGACTACTTGAACGCTTTCACCAAAGATGCGCTCTATCATGGACATAAGGTGGTAAGACCACGCTATAAACAGCGATGTCCTTGCAAAGGCTGGTGTGGATGGACAGTATATAGGGACTTCTTATGGTTCGACAGTTACGCTGGGCAGGGCATGTTTCCCATATGGGGACGAACGTATGCCAAAAGCAGTCTTTTTGGTCAGCTAAAAGGTGGTCGATGTAACAGAGGTGCCTTACGAAACGCTTTAAAGACCAGCTTAGGCTCAACTTGCCTTAGCTGACTTAGAAGAGAGCACCTGGTTGCATGGGGCTTCAGAACTAGACAACTAAAGGTCACTTACGAAGGCCACTGGATGCACATTTGAGACCAAACAAAAATCTGCTGCCAAGGACAGATGCAGACATGAAAAAGAAAATCTTAATCAACCAAAGGAAAAAGGAATTTTTTAATTTTTTTTTCTTTCCGGAAATGTTTTTTTTTCTTGAGGTTTTGAATAAGAGATTGACCCTTTACAAAACAATTAGATCATTTAGATAATCATCATATGACATCAGTTAGGCCAGGTTCACATAGAATCTAACTTCACATCCACTTTCACCTATCCCTTTGTCTGCTGAACCGTTGGGGCACCACATAAGATCTGTCAACCTTCTTTCTCCATTCTTCTCTGTCATTTGCCTTTGATAGAATTTCATTCTGATATTTTTTCTGAAAATATTGAAACCTGCCTTTTTACCTGCCTGGGTGGACCACTTTAGGGGCTGGTTTTGAGTTTGTGTTTCCACACATACTCTCTTTATTACCTTGTTTAAATGTCATTTTGCTTTTTTCTTGCTAAAAATGTGGGGGAAAAAACAATAGCGTAACTAGGCATTCTGATTGCATGATGTTATGGGCTGGCTGTGTTAATCTGTAATAAGCTGACCCAGTGACGCATCTACATCGCCTTTCACCCACTTGTGAAACGCGACCTCATGAGTGAAAATTGCTTTGGCACAAGCAAGCATTTCACTTGGCATTATTTTTCTGAAGGCAGCGGCGTAGAAATGTTTTTTTCCTTTCATTGTTACGACTGAAGACACACTAGATCTAGTCTGTAGTGACTATTGTCTATAATTAGAGCCTACGCCCCTCCGGGCCCTCCCTCACCTAAAATTTTCTTGTTGTAACAGTAAGAGTGACTTCGCTTGGAAAGTCCATAAATCATCTAGCTAGAAATAGTATCTAGATTTAGATCTAAATAAGATCTAGTGAAGATAATTCACACCTACCCTGAAAAATTTCAGTCAATTTAATGATCTTGATACATCTAATCATAATTTAATGTCTAGATTACTCTAGAAATACGCTAGATTTGTGCCAAATCACTAGAATCTAGTGAAGATAATTTGCTTACAGCTGTGAAAAGCCCACAAATTTTAGAGTTTAGATTTACGCTAAATCACTAGAATCTAGCAAAGATAATTCTGTCACAGCCGTGAAAAGTCCACGAATTTTAGTGACTTAGATCAAGAGTCTAGATCTACTGTAGATTTAAAAAAA